GCAAAAGCTCTTAGTTGTCCAGAAACGCAAACATTTCAGGTCATGGCGTGCACATGCGTGCTGGGCGCCTTGAATGATGCCCGCAGATGGGCACCGCGTCCATCGCCCGCTCTTTCCCCGTCGATTGCTCCTTCCTCTCACCCTTTTGAGGCGCAACAACAACAACCACCACCCTTCCCACACCCACACCACCACCACCAGCAGCAGCAGCAGCCACAGCCACACGCACATCCAAACCAAGCCCCTTCCACCTTTCCGGGGGCCGGCAACAGCTTCGCGGGGTCTTCCTCGAAGTTTCCTCCGGTCCCCGCGCCTCTAGGCCCGTCTTCGTCACTCCCCCCTCGCTCCCTGCCCCCCCCTTCCAGCCTTCCCCTCGCTTCTTTCCCAGCCACGTCCTCTGGGACCGCTCCCTCGGGACCACATCCTCCGGTGGCAGCACAGCAGCATCCTCCCCTTCAGTCTCAGGCCCCCAGGCACCTGCATCTCCATGCGCTGCACTCTCAAAACCCTCCTTATCGCCATTCGCAACACGAGCCACACCAACAACAAGACTTTCACAAGCAGCACCCGTACCCAGCCCCGCTCTTCCCTTCACATGATGCCCCTCCCTTGTCGGGAGGCATGCCTCCACCAGCACCCGCTCGTCCGCCTTTTACCTCTTTCCCTTTCTCTCAACACCCCCCAGGGCGCTCTGTCTTGGCGCATCCGCAACAGCAGCGGGAACAACAACAATCAAAGCTGCAGCGAGCACAGCCGCAGCAGCACCTGCCACAATACCACTCCTTCCACCATCCAAATCGCGGTCGGGGGGGCAAGCTATGAAAATCACGTCGGGAGATGAAAATAGGGATGCAATCAATGGGAAAGGCAAATGCGTGGCCAACGGGCCATGGTGAAGAACGCTTTAGTTGAGACTCGAGAGATGCATGTCGGGTATGCTATCATGATGAGTCCTTGTATTTATCATTCATAAACATAAAATGTATGATTTATGCGTTAATTCTTGAAGACCAGCGGCAGTCCTAGAAAAGGTAACAGCAGACCAAAAGTAACAGATCGTAAGAAGCCAGACAATTACTTTGCAGTCAAATTTGCTTAAATAAAATCCATATTCTACATTCGGAAAAAGTAGCTTTTATGGAGCAATCAATCCTTATTACTCAATTATTTGTCTGCAAAAGCACTGTCTCCACCCACCGACCAAAGTGGCCCGTACAACTTTCGCTTCATCGCTTTTGATGCCACGCTGTACACTGATGAAAATGCCTGTGGCATTCCTGTAGTCCCTAATACTCTGACTTGCAAGTAATACTCGCCGGTGGGTAGGTCCGCTGGGATACTGTAAGGCACTTCGGCAGATCCTACCTCGCTCGTTATGCACTCTATGACACACCTCGAGCAAGCTTTTTGTCCTTCTTGCGGGTTCGCTGGAGAAGCGGATCTCTTTTCTGTCAACACCTCGCCCGTTACTTTCACCATGACGACCTCAAGAGGCTGCGAGGGTAGAAAGCCCTGGAGAAGCAGTTTGTACGTTTGACGGGTCACCAAATTATGCTGCCATCCCCCGGCCAAAGACAAGCCCGGGTTGCTGGGGTCGATCAAGCGCACACTCATGGCCAACTCACCGTGCAGTTTCCGTCGGGAACCATGAAAAGGTGAGTGGGCGTCCTGAGAAAAAATTGGAGACTTTAGAAAGTCAGGACTGTTATAAGCTGGAATAATTAGTCGTTCCTCGTAGCTTGCTTCCACGCTGCACAGGAATAGGTCCGACGATGCGCTAAATTGTATTCTAGACGAAAGGAAGGCGGCGACTTCGCCTTCGTGTCCCTCTTTTCCACTCAGCGCAATCGTCAAAATCTCCACCGCTTCTACATTGTGGGCGACAAAGGCCACAGTAAACTCCTGACTTTCCGGAAAAGGACAGCTTAGAGAGGTTGCCTCAAGCATTTTTCTGCTTGCCCTTTTTTCAAACACAGGATCCTCTGATAGCCATTGAGAGGTGACTTTGTCGGGTCCCTTGGCAAAAACACTCACTTGAGTGTCTGGTAGATCCATCTCATCCCGCATCCAGAGCCGCATGGCGTCTCGCAAGTCGCTTGCCTCCAAGCGCTCAGTGCGTGTTGTTGATTCCTGGGTGGTATCCGTCCAGATCAGCAGCAGGGTGCCAATGACGATGCAAGTGGGCTCGAAATTGATGTCTTGGATATCGAATCTGGCCCCTTCACTTTCGTCGGGGTGCGCTTGATCGAGGGCAGCGCACGCTGCTGCCGTGTATTCACAGCGTGTGGCTCCAGGACCATCGATCGAGTCCACTTCGCAGATCTGGCAAACGTCAATCCCTTCCTCCACGTACAGGGTGTGACGTTTCCTTTTCACGGGTAAAGATGCAGCCGTGGAATTGTCTCCGACATGCAAGAGATCCTTCTTGATAGTGGCCATTCCGGCATCTCCTTTGTCTACGGAAACTTGTGGCAACATTCGCAACCGATTCTGGGCATCATGCTTACCGAAGCCTTCTTCAAGGCTTTTGGCTGCATCTAGCATTTTCAGCGGCACCCAACTAGCAAGGGATTGTGTGATGTTTTGGTCATATATGTCTTTTGTCTCAAAAGTTTTGGTTTTGTACATGTAAAACCGATTGCTGGGTTCCGCATCGTCACCCTTCTGTGAGATGTAATGCTGCCAGTCCCATGGATATGGCAGGCCGACGTTATCAGACTTTAGATAGCGCTTCCCTTTCTTAGCTTCCACATGGCCTGTTTTTTGCACCTTTCGCTTTTCAAAAGTGCTCTCATGCTTTATTTCCTCATTTTCTTCGTGCTTTCCCTTCGAACCGCCCACGATGTCCTTTCGGACTCGCCGTTGCTTGTGTCGAGTCATTTTCCTCATTCCATTTGTCTTGTTTTTAGAATTTGTGCTCGCGAATTTGGATCGACTGGCGTATGTCAAGCCTTTGGCGTCATTAAAACTCCGACCTGCCACGTAGAAATTATCCGCATTTCCACTCACGTACTGACGCGAAGCGGGGGCATAGACGGGCGAAAGAGCCACCACCGCGCCCCCTGATCCTTTCCAAAGTGTCCCTCCTTGACCGGCGAAATAAAACAGCGCATACGCAGAGAATGTGGGACTACCTACAAAGGTAGTAAACCCCGCAGAGTCGGCAAGAGTTCCTCCTAGGCCAAAAAAGGAATATGTGGAAGCCCAGTTGACCGAAGGGCTCCCTACCCACACGGAGACACCCGCCCCATTGTAAGAGAAGCCTCCAATCCCACTAAACGTGTTTGTAGAGTAGGCAAACAGAGACGGCACGCCTACATTGATACTGGCGCCACTGCCCACAAAGATGCTGGAGCCGGCCAGCGCGTTGAATGATGGGCCACAGTACTGGACGTAGCTCACCCCAATCTGCACCAAAGTTCCGCTCCCCACCGCCGTGTAGAAACCAGCTCCGACCGCGAACAAAACACCGTAGGCGTTCTCGATGGTGACGCCGGTCATGACCAAGACCCCAGCCGCCGTGGCAAAGTCACCGAAGCCAACAAAAGCTAGCACAACCGCCACTAAACGGAAGTCCATGCCTGTTATGATCTGCACCCCGCCTCCGACCAAAATCGTTTGCCCGGGCCCACTGGAGTGGTTGGCTATGATCGATTCTTGAATCACGCAAAATGTGAAGACGCCGACGCCGCCTAATATCCCTACTACCATACCGGCGCCCGCGAGCGAACCAAACATTGTAGTGGACGTAAAAGTACATGCAGTGACTGTCAATGTACCCGCCAACATTAGAATATCTCCGCCCAACGAGAATTGATCAGTCAAAGGGAGCAATATCGCGGTCGTCCAGAAGTGGCAGTTCGTAAATTTGACCGATCCTCCCGCGATGAAGATATGACCACCATACGTGCGTCCCCCCATCCCCGTGTAGGTCGCTTGAATGGCCTCTTGCACGGATTCCCACGAGTTTGCCACCGACAAAAAAATGACCCCTTCAAAATTCGCCCCCGAAGCGCCTTGTTCAATAGCCACAGAGCCGCCCCGGGTCTCCAAAATTTTGCCAGTCACCCCTACCTGTTGGGTGCCGCTTGTCTCACCGAAAGCACTCTCGGCTTGCGTTTGGTTTGAAGACACAGGACGCTCCTTGGTTTCCCCTACGCCTGCCCGGACTCGAATGTATTGCAGATCCAAAAAACCTCCCTCCACCACTCGAAACGCACGCGGTGCCATGTTGAGGGTGGAGGCATCGATTACGGGGAGAAAGACGGGATGACCGACAATGCGAATAGGCCGGTCAACCATAATGTGCTGCGTTATCAGGTACGCTTGGGGATCAAAATTCGTCAAAAATAAGAGAGAGCAATCCAACTCCTGCACGGCCTCTACCAGCTCATCGGCCGTCTGGGGATAGCAAGCGTCCATCTGGTCAGAGGAAGCCTGCTGCTTGGAGGAGAAACGGTCACTACCCTTAGAAAGAACAGCGTGGGCGGTAGTAAGAAGATTAGGGGCCGGGGGAGCGACCGCAGATGCAGTGGGAGAAGCAGCGGCTGTTTCTAAGGATAGGGGGAAAAACAGACCAAATATCAAGCAAAAGTATTCTTGATCATGCACCTTATCAAATCCTCCCTATTCCCATCAGCTCGCTGCCCCCCCCTCCCCCACTCTCTAATCTTTCGTCTTCTCCTCTTTCACCTTTACCTCCTTGATCACCCCCATGTACTTTATCTTCGATATCCAAGGTTTTGGGTATTGTCGAGTTATGCAACTCTTTATCAGCATATGTCTCTATCGTGTCTAGGCTGTAAGCAGCACTTCCCTCCCCACCGGCTCCTCCTCTGGTGCCCTCTCTGAGATGGTCGTGCAACAGTAAGCCCGCTGCCAAGAAAAGACTACATGCAACACAGGCGACAAGAGCGGTGCGCCATCTAAAGACACATCTCTGGTTGGGTTCTATAGTGCTTTGCTCGCGCATGGTGCCGGGCACGCCGCAGCTGCAAGGTCTATCGTTGAGACTATAACTATCTGTCGCTGCAGCCCCATGGCATCATATCGTCTTTTGAGCGCCACTTTTCTCCCGTCAGAGTCAATGGAGAAAGTCCCTGAAAATAGGGACGAGAAAAAAGATAGGTCGTTAGGATATGGAATACTTGGCATTTCGTTCATAGGCTAGCTTTCCTAGGGCTGTAAGAGAATAGTTTCTGAGGGTAATGAGCAATGCTTTTTCCAGCCGGCATTTCTCCCGTAGAGGCAGGCAAGAAATGCGAGAGATTGTGGCAAGGAGCCCCCGACGCTTCGATTTGACGATCCATGAAATACTATATGCGATGATTAATGTGCGATTGAACCCCTCAAACAAATCCGTGACAAGAGACAGATAGGACGTAGGGACTGTCGTGCATGATCGTACAAACGCCTACACATCTCAATCTAGAGCGTGCCTTGCCGCCGGGATCAATTTTTGAAATGGATCAAATACATATCGTAGGAAATATTACACGCTTTCTGACGACGCGCGGGCAAAAGCTCTTAGTTGTCCAGAAACGCAAACATTTCAGGTCATGGCGTGCACATGGAGATCACAGGAGCGGCTGAGTTTTTCGAGCCCCCACACCTGTACCCTGAAATCTGCCTCCAACTATCTTTTTGCTGTCAATTTTACCATGCTTTTGCTAACAAACCTTCACCTATACTGTGGGAAGGTTACACAACTTAGCTATCGTCCCTTGCTTGCCCTGACATGGCCAACGGTGAATCGAAGACTGATCGCACGAGGAAACCCACCGCTCGACATAACTTCTTTTCTCTTTCAATAGCCTTTTGAAGATGTCAATTTCTATGCAGCGTTGTGTCCAGCAGTCAAAGATGACAAGGGCACCGTACAGAAGCATAAGTATTTTCTGAATGCGCGTCATTCGGCAGCCATTTGGGCCCATGTCCATCTCTCGGGCTTTTCAGGGCTTGCCTCCCGGAAACATACACCTTGGGGTCGCTATCCTTTCCTGTGCGCAATATTTGTACAGCCTTCATTATTTGTCATAAAAATGAAATGTATACTCAATTAGTTGCAAGATCATGAAGGTCTGGTTACCGGGGAGACGAGTAAGAATGAAAGGTGACGAAAATTCCGCTTCTTTAACGGCATGTTTGAAAGAAAATCCCTAGACAAGGGCAAGTGAAAGCTCTTATAAGTCACACACACAAGTGTTGGGCCCATTTTCGCTTTGGTCTTCAGTTATTTCAGTGTTTTCATTAAAAAAAGCTCTCTGTAGCAAGTGTAGGTCTTTCTTGAATGTTTACTAGCATTCTCTCGACCGCCTTGAACGTCACATCCTACTACACTACAGTCTACGTTACTTATGACTCGCAATCTCGGCAGCATTTTTCTCTTTTTCGCAGCAGACATGCGTAAGCCCTTACTTATGGCCATGTAAAAGAGCAGTCAACCATCTCATCAGTACACTGCACGTCCAAAATAAGGACAACAAAAAGGTGCGTTTTTAACCCTCGATTACCCTCCATTTTTGACGAATTTATGTTTGAAAAGTCACGCCGGATAATGGGCTCCCGACCCATGCATGCACCATTAACACACTCAAAATCGAACCCTTAAACCTGGATACAAGGAAGAAAGGCTATAAGACAGTGACCATCACTAGCGAAGGACAGTAAAATACGTCAACTATCGATAAAAATGTACTCTTCACGAGATCCTCTCCTCAATACTCATATTATGGCTTGTTCTCGACCTCTTTTGATCTGAAATTTAAGCCTTTTAAAATTAGACCTTTTGTCTATCTTATGCTCTCGTTTTGCTTATATACGATACCCTCAAATTAGCATTGTTCCCGGGGGTCAGCGAACGCTCGACACAAACACACAACGTACAAAAAAGTCTTGGTCGCATACATATTTTTGGCCCTTAGGGGACTTCACGCTACACATCTTGGTAAGGCAAGTGGCTTGAAGAGACGTCTGATAAACACTAGAGGATGAAGCCTGGATTGACAGGGACATTTGAGATAATAATTGTGCGAGATTTTCGCAATAGTGTAGAAATACGCTACGTGTGGCATCACTTGCATACATACTGGTACTGACGTGCAACGTCGCAATTCGCGTCATCGATGTAAGAATTCACTTCTGAAGAATTAAAGACAGATAAGCGCTTGAAATGCTTCTTTTCGAGTAATTTGTTCATAATTTTTGTAACCTACTTATTCCGGACAGGACCTTCAAAGCCTTACACCCCAATAACCACGTTATCATTTTCATCTTTAATCTTTCCCTCCTCCGCACCTCTGTCTCCCAGTATCGTGTCTTCCTCCTCAGGCTCCCCCGGAAGACGGATATAGTGGACACCATAGGGCACTTCGGTGCGCCCTTTTTTCTTCTCATGCGAAACGGCAACACGAGAGGAGTTCCGTTTGTAGCCCTCAATAGGCGCGTTGACAGAAACGTTCACTTGTAAACCTAAAAGAGAGAAAAAAAAGTCGCATGATGCATACTGCCGTGTCACCTTTTAAGACGCTTCCCAACATCATGAGCATACTATACATTGCCCCTTTTTACAACCTTTTCGGTTAGACGTTGGCAAAAACTATACCGAGTGCCTGAAGCTCTTTTCTCTACATTTGACCCAGCTCTTACCTCCTAGATAGTCTGGAATGTAGGTTCCAAGCCTTAATCGCTGAGCAGGGAGGTCGCGATTCGCATAGAGGATATATAGGCAAGCTATGACAACTAAGTGCTGCGCCCCAAATTGTATGAGTTGTCCGATCAAGGACAAATGACACATGCGACAGAGGGTCTCAGCTTCCTACGAAAGATAAGGGACGTAAGAAAACGTCGACGACAAGGACGGACGGACCAGCGCAGATTATGAGTGCGCGATAGATATGCTATAGTCTCGAGAAACATAAGAAATACACTCCTACGCACCCATCAACCCTGCTCGACTCGGACACGATCATCTACCCCCTTACGCTTCTCCTTGTTTCTTTCACTCCTCCCTTCCTTTCTCTTACTTACCTTGGGGAAGCGCTCGAAAATAGCTGATTTGGCTGTTACGTAGGCAGGACAACCGTAGGCAGGATCCAACGACCAAATGGAAAAGGCTTGTGCTAGCGATTTATCCTATGAATGTGGGGGACAGGCAGGCATTAGAGGTTTGAACGAAAGGGAAAAACACTATCGATTTGAGGAAAACATGAAAGCGTTATATAGTTGAAGTAAAACGGAGGGAGGAGAAGATTAGACAAAAGAAGAAAAGAAGAGGAAGAGTTCTGTGGCCTGTGCACACGAACGTGACTCCCAGCTTCTTTGCTGTCAATTACCTTGTTGTAAGGATAGGTGACGCTGTTGTAGGCATGGATGGTTGCTAGCACGGACGGGTAGGAGAGGACCACGTGAATGTAGGAAATGAAGGCGCCGAGTTTAAATTTTTCTAGGTCGCCCTGAGGGGAGGATGACATGCAGGATTTAGGGAAGAAATGAAGAGAAAGGAAGGAGCAGAGGAAAGAAAGAGCGTGAAGATTGGTGTGGCCGTGTAATTGCACACATGAGGCTGCGATATATAGAGAGAAGGTACAAAAATGGCTGCTATGGAGAGAATGTGTGACTGAACGAAGGCCAGAAAAAGGTGACAGGAAATACCTTGCAAGTACCAACACCAATCGCTCCCAAGGTCATCATCATTGTCAGCGAGACAATGTCGAGTTCTCCCTTACTGAAGGCAAATATAGAGTTGAGTTTAGATTCCTGTTATTGGAAAGGAAAATATGGTGTTGCCGAGATCACTGAAGTCGTCTCTGTCGGCATTGCTGTCTTAATCTCATTGTAGCTTTCCCCTCACACGTTTTCTAGAAGCAGACTACCTCATTTCTTTTTTCCGCTCTCCACCCTTCCCTTCTTACATTCAAGACGTCCAGTGTCAGTTGTGCCACGGTCTCTTTTGCATAGAAGCATGTCACATAGCCGACAAAAGCGATGACGAGAAGTCCCAAGGGGTAGCCGTTAGCTACCAGAAAAAAAAGGAGAAGTTAAAGGAGGAAGAGAAAAGAAGAAATTGAGGACTGCGAACAGTACAATGAGCAAGAGGCGAAGCTAGAAAAATTGCGACATAAAGTGACAGATTGTGGCAGGGCGATCAGAAAAGGGGAAAAACGAGGGATGGTACCTTCTAACTGGAATCGCCAACGCTTTCCTATTCGGTAGTTGGCAACAGCACACGTGGAAATGACGAGGAAAATAGAGCACTACGGGCAGGAAAAAGGAAGGAGCAGGAAGAGAAGTGACGCGGGAGGGGGTGAAACGAAGCCACACGATTTGCCATGCAATACGAGCAGCGTCACGTCACCCTTATTCCCCTCCTTTCTTCTGGAACCTGCCTTTCATTTCAGCATCCCTGCCTCTTATCTCCTACCCCCTCCCTGGAATATCCCTCACTTTCTCTTTCTTACCATGAGGACGACGACCAGTATTTGAAAGATCAGGAACCACTTGTTCAGGGCGTAAGCCAGGCTGCAAGAGGCCGGGGCCCATTTCGCCGCGGCGGGGAAAGAGTACATGTTCGGTTGTATGTACTTGACCAGTGTCAAGAGAGTAGCAGAGAGTTGCTAAAAAAGCGAGAGGATGGCAGGAGAAGACAACGGCCATAAGTTTTGCAAAGGTGTGACAGTGACAGATTCCTATGCAGTTGCCTCATCCGAGCTCTCCTTCCCCTCTCTTCCCATCTCTCCTTCATGCTTTCTTTCCCTTCTTACCTGGGGTTGCGGCTGAATAGGCTCCGCTTCTCTGTAGACGATAATGCCGAGAATTGCCATCATATTTGCAAAGAGGGAGTAGGGAAGGATATCCGTGTCCTAGGCAGGCAAGACGTTAAGGAGAGCCAGTGGAGGAAAGCGGGATCGCAGGAGAATCAAACCAAACGACGTGATACTCTCGTCTTCGGATAATCTTTGCTTTGCCAGGAGCACGTGTACCGTGCAACACATAGAGTGGTTGAGGTCAATGGTTTTGAGGTTGAAAGGAATGGTCAGCTAGGCGCCACTAACCTTTACTCCGACGTAAGCCATCTTGAAGACGACGATTATGAAGACAAAGACGCGACCGGCATACGAGGCTGTTATGATTGAGGGAAAACATGCCAGGCCCCGAATGGAGAGAAAAATGTTACGTGTAAGACGAGAAGAGGTAAAGATAGAGGAAGGAAAGCGGAGTTTTCTTACCTGCGGCCATAAGGTAGTTCGTTTTATCTGCTGTTGAGCCTCCAAGGGGATCGACAGCCTAGCAAGTAGGATCGTTTTAATTGTAAATCAGTCATATGTCATCCCTCACATCATTATTCCTTCCTGTCGCTTTATCTCGCCGCTCTACCTGATTTGGATAGACCAAACACCGTTGCCAGTCATCCTTTGTGTAGCTGTACTGATTCGCAAAAATCCAGGCGTACACACAAGCGAATGATATATTGATGATAGTCAGCGGTATGCCGACCACAAAGAGGATACGAAGGGCGGTAAGAGATCTGAAAAATGGAAATAAAAGAAGAAAGGAGTGAGAAAGAAAGTGACAGAGGGAAAGCAACAGGTTGGAAAGACCACACTTGATAAGCATTCAACTTTTGCAACACCACGTACCGGTCCTGTATCTGAAAATATCGTCGGGCTAAACGTTGATCTTCTTTGGTCTGTTTGCTGCTGCTCTTCTTCCCGCTTTCAATGCGCCGCTTGGAAGACGACGAATTGGCATCTCCAGCGCCGGAGGGAGGAGGGCTGCTTCTCGCATCGCTGCGCCTTCCATAGCTAAAAAGTGGCATATAGTCACCTGTAATATTAAAAAAGTAAATTAGTAACAGGCTGGACCTTGATTATGTAACGTCGTTATCAATGTGGAGTCAAGGGGGCCAATTTGTTCGTTTGAATCGTGTGCCGGTGCTCTAGCGGTAGATCGAGCACCCATGACGGAAGGAATACATAAAAGAGCGACAAAATACGAACTAACCCAGCTCACTGTGTAATCATCATTCATACCATGCATATGGTTCATTCGACAATATATGCGAAATAGATCAGCACTAGGGGGCACATTGTAATAGGTCTGCGGTAGCTGCTTCGAAACGGCTCGTCTAACGGCTCGTCTAACGGCTCAGGCCCGAGCGTCGTCAATGTTTCGAAATCTGCAGCTGGAGCCCAACTCAAAGGTAAGGAGTCGGAAACAGCTTTTAGTACGCCCTTTACTTTCAATCTAGGGTTTATAAAACGCTCAAGGGGAAAGTCATATCCATCGTGCATCGAGCAGATTTTATTTGTATTTGATCAAAGTGGAGCTTGACGCAGCAACGATGAGATGATATGGAAGTTGGTATGTCGAAAAAATCCCGTACGCAACAAAAATGAATACGGCCATGGGAAATGATAATAATTTCAATTGTGAAACATCGAGTAAAGATGTTTGGTTGGTGGTTGATGGTTGAATGTTCATCGTGTGCATAAATTTTGGTAAAAATGAAGGTGACATCTCCTTTACAGAAGAGGCCGCTTACAGACTATATCTCGGTATTTCACCTCTCCGAAAATGTGCAATAAAGTTGCCTGCTTTCATAAGAAATTCATTACATTGCTATTATTTGTCTCCAGCGGTAAGTACCCACGCACCCATGAGATACGCACATCGTATTCGACCCTGGTTTCGCCGTGCTGGCTGATTTCTGACTTATTTTAGTGCTCCTTTTAGGTGACGCTATGAAAAAAGAGAGAATCCATGCGCATGCATGAGCAAATCGTGCCACGTTTCAACTCCTGTTGATGTAGAGCGAATATAAGTCTGGGTCCGAAAGCCATTACGGAGAGGAGGGTACCGGTGTCCGCACCGAGTGGGGTGCCCCGGAGGTGGTGGTGCACCTTGGAGAGAACGAGGCGGACGAGGAGCGTGAAGAAGAAGAGCCCCTTGCTCTTCTTCTTCTTTACCTTGTCCACCACGCCCGCCACGTATTCCCCAAGGTGCACCACCATATCCCGGGAACCCCACTCGGCGCGGACACCGGTACCCTCCTCACCGTACAGAGCCGCCAGCCCCACCCCTTGGTGGCCCCCGACGAACCCCCTCGGGCCCATCCTCGTCACGAGACTCGAGACCTTTTCCACACGGAGGCGGGACTCGCTGAGCATCAAGCTCGCTTGGGCGGCCTAGGAGGCCACGGACTTGTAGAGTCCCTGTTGGTGTTCAAGAGGGTGCTTCAGGTAAGCAACAGAGACAGTGTGAGAGTAGAGATTGCGGGGAGAGCCGCGAAGCGTTCCCGAGTGGCGGGGGTAATAGGGAAGGGTGATGTCGGCGGCGGCAGCACCAGCAGCAGTGACGACCGCAGCGGAGACGAACACAGCAAGGAAAAGATGAAGGAAGGAAAGGTTCAGACGGACGAGGGATGGATCGCGACGCATGAGGACGAGGAGGCAGGGTTTGACGCTCCGCTTTCAGTGGAAGACGATGCCTGCCGGGAAGATGAGGACATCAGCGGAGAACAGGGATGAACGGCGGAAGAGGTGGAGCAGGAGCAAAGGGATGCGGCTGCTGCAACTGCTGCTGCTGCGATGGAGAGGATGCAATAGGGTGGTATAAGTGAGGAGGAGGAGGAGGAGGAGGGGAAGAGGAGGAGGAGGAGGAGGAGGAGGAGGAGGAGGAGGAGGAGGAGGAGGAGGAGGAGGAGGAGGAGGAGGAGATTTTCTGTTACTGCAAAATGACCCATGACCCTGAGGATGGGAGGGGGATAATGGAGTGCGGCGGCTGCAAGAGCTGGTAGCATTTTGATCGCATTGAGAAAAAGAAGGGAAAGGTAGTGCGGAAGCCGGTGGAGGTCGCTGCGAGCAGCGAGACGACGCAGTGGTCATTGCCGCCGCGACTCCAAGAGCACGACAAAGAAGTAGGTACTTCGGGTTGAAAGAGCCAGGGAAGGAACACGGTGAACTCATAGATGAAGAATGTAACAGTAATATAACGCAGTTTGAATGTGTTTAATCCTTCATCGCCTTTCAGTTCGATTTTGCTTTTCTTGCCCTTCTCGTCCTTGTAAGCTCGGCCCATCGGACTCACCACTTCCTCGACGAGAAAAATGTAAGCGGCCGTATTATCGCATCCACACCCGCTCTAAGCCGCTGAAAGAGCTCCTAATTCTCTTTTTTTGACATTCCAAAAGGTTCGGTGGGGGAACTTTTAGGGACCTCGAGGAGGTGGGTGCCCCGTCACCAAATTAGATCCCAGCGGCCTTGGTTGCACTTTCTTGAGCGAGTGGAAACATATTCTTATAGAAAATATGAACTTGGTCAACGATTTAATTATCTCGGGCCTCCATTGCTTTCATGGTTCGTGCTCTTTCAAGGCTTACATGCAGGTGTTTTTGTTCACCCTTAGTTCATACTCCACAGGATTTTGGTTGTCCCGACACTAGCCATTTTGACCTCAGCACCATGCCGAAGCGGAAAGGCATGTCCTTGGAGGAGAAGCGCCAAACAATCTTGAAAATCTACCATTCCACGGTAATAGAAACGCGGCGTACACAAATGATGTCTTGAGAGGGAAGGGAACGGGGAGAAAGTGATGAAGTGATCCGGGGCCCCATCCAGATGAGTGACAGGGACGGAAGCGAAGGAGGAAGGAAGGCGTACTTTGGAGTCCAGCGGCGGGTGATCCATACGCTCTCTGCATCTCGATAGGGCAGAAAAAAAAGTGTCGGCAATCATGGTCATGGCCACGCCGTTTCTCTACTGACCGCCCGTATCTCACCCCACTCCCATGCCCTAGGGTGCCGTCTACAGTCTAAAAGAGATGGAGGGTCTCGCATCGAAACAAGGTGTTGTGTCACAGAGGTGAGCAGGACACTGCCTGGAAAGCCGTGGGAAGGCTTTGAAGCAAGGCAACAAGGGGGTTGTGGTGTCAGGCAGCACCGGCACTAAATTTCTCTTCATTTCCACCGCCTTTTCTGTGGTGTCCCCCCTCTCGATCTGTAGCGTGAAGGACGTCAACCAAGGACTCGTCGACGATGGCTTGGTCGAAATGGAAAAGGTTGGAGCAAGCAACGTTTTCTTCGGTCGGTAGGGGGGGACAGGGACCACGGCGCGAGGGGAGGGGCGGCAGGAAGGGGAGGAGAGGATGTGTAGAGGTGGGGGGAGGTCGGGGAAGAGATGGAGGAGCAACCCCCCATAAGCTTCTCGCATCTCCACTTCCCTTCTTAAAGCCACAAGCTACTTCTCCTGCATCCTGAATTCGTGTATTCTTCGGTCCTTGTCTCCCTATCTCTTTTCCACTTTTCATGTTCATGATTATTGACAGCCTTTCCTGGCAAGGCTATTGCGTCGAAAAGGACCGCCACCGTCAATTTAGAGAGCGAAGTCGCTAGGTATGTGCTACCATTCTCTCTCACCTCTTTTGCTCCCGGCCCGCACGCCATTATCTCGGTCGATTCCTCCTCTTTTTATCCGTTTACCCTCCACGGGAGGGTCTCTTCTATGCTGACTCTCCTCACCACAATAAGGGCATCTCTTATTTCACGTCATTCCCTTCCTCTTTTTCCCTCGTATGGCTCTTCGCCTTTGCTTCTTCTCTGTATCGTAGCGTTCTGTGCCGTTGTGGGGTCTCAATCTATTTTCCACGCTCCATCATCTTCTTTTCGCCCCCATCTCATCTGCACCAGACTCAAAGCTCACGTAAGCACGTTGGAAGAGAAAGCAGCAGCTTTGTCAGCGGGACGCCAAGATTCCGAAAAGAGGAGACAGAACATGGAGTAAGTAGGGAAAAGAAGAAAGGCGGGAGAGACGCGGCTTGAGGTTGGGAGCAGAGGAAGTCCAAGGGCGGCCAATTGCCCCGTCAGGACCCCGCTTACTCGGTTTCTTGCATCTACAACCCCGTTCCTACACGTCAACTGAACTGGATGACGAAACGTAGAGCGACCTGGTAATTCGTATGTATCCATTATCGAATCCTCTCACCCTCCATCCAGGGACTACGAAACTGCCCTTGCCCTGAAAACGAAGCAGTTGGAGGAAGTGCAACGCTTCAAGGATAATGACCCGGTGAAGATCGAACGGCTTGGTAGGTGGAAAAAGGAAGCATGCGCCATTCTAGACAAAACAAAAGGATAGAAACAAGGGCGAGGACCATCGAACCATGTCGATGAGACGCATACACCACTACGTGAGCTCAGTGCGACGCTCGCTGGACGAAACACTCTCACCAATACATCCTAGCCGGGCGGATCCTTGGCGTATCGAGGAAATTCACGCGAGACCTTTTCTCTCATCTTATCCAGAGGCGCAGGCTGCTCTCTGTAAGCAGGGAGTCAATCGGTGGACGGACAATATCTTCTCCATTAAGGTACAGAGAGTACCGGAGGGGGGGGGGGAAAACTCTTTCGTGCCATGATTGATGGGAAGCGTTTGTCTTCAGACGTCGGCACCGATCCTTTCCAAGCATACACGCGTCGTTCTGGTGGGTGACTGACGAGACAAATGCCTCCTACATGTTCGGACCCATCCCTGGCACTAGAGCTACTTGGTCAAAAAACGCGGCATGTACAGCAAGGACGTCGACAAATTCCTAGGGTAAGAGGTTCAGGGGACGCGGGTGGTAATCAGAACACGATCGGTCGCGCGTTATTCGAGGGAGAAAAGCGGGAAGAAGGGAGGAATATATTGTGCTCGGTTCAAGGGCATGTTGCGTCTAAGAACTGCCTCCCTGGTGTCTGCGTCATCTGTTGGAATGTTTGAGTAAGTGTTACCTTCCCTCTTACCCCTTGGTTGCACCTCTGGACACGCACGCGCGTGCTCGCGTACAGGCTCACGGACTCATTTGACTATGTGGAGTGAAGACATCAGGACAATGAACCGTCAAAAGTAGGGAAAGGGGGAGAATGGGGGGGGGGGGACGTCGGAGGAGCTCTCAAAGTAAAAAAGGAAACATGAAAGGACAGGAGTGACCAGAAAAGGAAAACGCACTAATGACGTTCAAGGCCCTCCATCGATGGACCAATGAGGGAGAAATTCTGTCAACGACAGTCCTCGCCTTCCTGAAACGAGTCCACTGCCCTCCACATGCGCCAAGCACAAGGCGGTTGACTTTGCTTCCAAGTATTGAGACATGGGTTCTCCTCGGCGCCCTGCGTTCCTTTCTTGACCATAGTTTACATGCTGATCCCCACACTGCTCCTTGGAAGAAAGCACATGATCCACAGCCCTTGCGCCGCCTGCCTCCAAGCTGTGTTTTTGGCCCCATTGTCCCCTCAGGAATCGAGAGGGAAGACGCAAGGCAGGAGAAAGATGCAGTCATGACGTTCATGCCCAAGCACGCGAACCGCGTGCTTCCAGGACCCCGACTCTGAATGGTAGGGAAAAGAGCCAGCACTGTCAGAAGGACCGCAAATCCCCGAAGGGAGAGAGATCGTGCTGTCTATCCCCATATAATCTGTGCCTTTCTTTCTATCTTCGCCCAGGAGAGCCGCCCCCATCCCAGACATCCACGGCAGATAGAAAGAGCTCCGGCACCCTTCAATGAGGATGTTCTCTTCGGCAGGGGACCAAGAGGAACGATTAAGAGAGGCAAAGAACGACAAAGAACAACGCTGTCAGGCATGATTCCCTTCTTTCCATGTTTCCGACGACCGGCGCCCTTAGAAACAATCCTGACTCGACAGTCCCCGCCCCACACTCTTTGTACCGTGCTCCTTTCCGCTGGCATCCAATACCATCCTCCTGCCACCGGACGTTCCGCCGGCTGAATCCCCTCCCACGCAGGAACCGCCGTGACAGCGCCTTCCCATTCCCTCCATATCGCCTCCTAGATCCACCCTTCCCACACTGCTGACACTCCGTTCCATCCCCCCTCTCGTCTTCTCCCCTTCTCCCATCCTTTCCACATGACCCCTCCCCCCTCCCCGTCCTTGACGGCATCACCCTTCTCCATCTCCAACCGTCCCCTGTCACTCTTCCTAATGCCTTCCCCCCCTCCGGCCCCGCTATCCTTCCAGCGCCGTCGCTTTTCCTCTATTTTATGCACCATTTATCACCGTGACACATTATCACTTCTCCCTCTCCTCCCTATCGCCCCCCCTTCCTACACCAACTCCACCTTCGCGCCTACGTCCTGCAGTTTCTTAAGGAGGGCTTCCGCCTCCTCCTTCTTCACGTCCTTCTTGATCACCTGCGGCGACAGGGAAGGCAGAGAACGGGTAGAAAGCGAGTGGTCAGAGGGATGAGGCGCGCCGCATGCGTGTGGGGCAGGGGAAAATCGATAAGGAGGATGGGAGGAAGGGCGGGAGGGAGGGCGGG